CAGTTGAGTGTATGTTAAAACTCAGGGATGCGGTTATGACATATAAGTGTATGAAAGGGTTAGCTCCGCCGTACTTGTGTGACAAATTCCAAATGAGATCAAAGATTCACAGTGTTAACACCAGAAATAAGGATAAGTTAGACATTCCACTTATTATTTCCACTGTATAATTCGGCTTCTGGACAGCGAACGTTTCATTATCGCGCAGTGTCTATTTGGAATGAGCTCCCAAATCATATTAAAGACATTGACACTTTGGACCGGTTTAAAATAGAATATAAACGTCATTTATTGCATGGATTTTCAGAAAGTAGTTTTAGACAATTCGGACTTGTTTAAATTAGCATATAAACGTTTTTACTGTATGGATTTTATTAGGAAGTAGTTAATCATTTTTAAAGTGACATTACAAATAATTATAAAATTTTTAATTTGTGTTTGTATGTATGTATGTACGTATGTTTGTGGGTGTATATATATATATATTGTTTGTAGTATATAAATGATTTGTAATTACCTGCTGAAAAGCCCTTTTGGGAGCAGGCAATATTGTAATAATAATAAAAAGGTCACACCTACTAAAGGTCAGATCATATGTGTTACGCGACAAAGGTCATGGAACAAACGCTACGCGACAATGTCGTTGAACAAACGCTATGCTACATGGAACAAATGCGTTACGCGACAAATGTCTAAAAAGTATATATCTTAAACTTGTCAAAAAGCACGGTAAACAGTTGTATACTGTCCCTGATGATGGCTGGTTCAATATTTCACTTACTGGAAGTAATCTACGCTAAGAACGTAGCATGCGAGGTTCAAAAAATACGCAATGAACGCTGCTGTGGCTGTAAAATATACGAACAGGATTGTCTAATGATGATGCATGAACACGAAACTTGGGGAATGCACGGGTTCAACGCTATAGAACAAGCTAACAACACGTCCTCCACATGGAACGAATTCGTGGCCGCTATCAAAATTCTAAACGTAGAAAATCATAAAGATTTTACACAGCACCTGATGTGTTTGCAAGAAGAACCCATCAAAACTTTGTCTACACTTTACTACAAGTATATCAAGACAATCAACCATTACTACGTATTCTACATGACTTATGGAATCCACAAACTGACCCCCTGGAATCCTATGCTCAATGTCATTTCAGCTCACCGCCAAGATACACCTATTATGTCAAAGGGACAAAGGAAACATTCAAATCCCTCGAAACGGATCATAAAAAAGCGTATCAGAAACATTTAGAAAATAAAGTACGAGAACAACTCAATAAATTGTAAAATCTTTGTTCTCAGAAAAACATTAGTAGTTTTACAAAACATCTCTGTTAAAAAATCTTTACAATTTTATAAATAAATAAATGTTTTTTACTAAACGTGTCTTATGCACAATGTTCTTCGCTCCAATACATTAGGTAGCTCAAAATGGGTTCATAATCAGAAAAACTTCCTCTCAAATCCCCCAAAAAATCAAGTGTTACTTCACGATCTTTTATCAAGTTCGCATAATGTTCTTTCGCACGCCCGTAATATTCCAATTTCATCACTCGAATA